GCTTTTAGTTAATTTCTTGTTTTCTTTCCCTATAAATATAGCTGATAAATTTCACTTCTCCCAGTTTTCTTTATCAGAGATACTTCATAATCATCTTCTCTTTTCTATTCCCTCTATTCTTAAACAAATAGCCTGCTTACAAAAAGCTATTCATTCTCTGTCCTATCCTACCTGTCTCGTTCCTCCTAGTTTCTGATCATTAGTTATACCAGCAGTCACTATGGCGGACATAACAGCAGCTGTGAATTAAATGGAAACATAACTGCCATTTTTTTATTTGCTCGATATCCCTAGCCAATAAGATTTGAGTAAAAGATTGCTACAAATGATCATAATATCCCAAAAAAACAAAAATGCTTCAAAAATATCTCTGGGACCGTCAATATGTAGTTTAGATGTTATAAAAACTATCTCGAAGTTAAGATTAGATTGCTATATGCCAAAAAATTGATGCAATATTGATCCGAGTTTGATGGGTTACGGTATAAAAAACGATTTTTTGCGCTTGTGAAGCAAATGGTAACATGTTGCTATTTTTTTACTTATTTTTTTTTTAAAAAAAAAAGATGTTGCGCCTGGAAAAACTTGCGAATGACAAGGGATTCAAAATTAACCAGTGTAAAAGAATGTGGTGTGCCAAACGCTTGTTAAGGGAGAGCTTTAAAAGTGACAACCAAACACAAAGAAGAAGACTAACAGTAAAAGGTCCTATAGCGGTTTATTTCATCAATATCGTTAACAAGATAAAAAAAATGTAGAATCAACAAGATCCCGATAGTTCAAACTCTATCAATGAAGCTTTCCAAGATATGGGTCGCGATGAGTTCCCCATCATAGCAGACGTGCTGTTAGTTTTTTTATTGTTTTTCATGCATGATATATGTATACTCATATGCGATAATTATTTTTTATACAGTTCTCCTCCACCAGAGGTAGCGAATGAACCTTCACGTAAAAGAACCAGAAGAAGGTAATTGTCGTGTCTGGTCGACATGATTGGTCCATTCTGGTTTTTAGCTTCTTTATTAGTGTGTATTTTAGCGTTCTTTTAGCTTACAATTTTTTCTCTCTTTCTTTTACTTTTATTTATCTTTTAAAATAAATAGCTTTCAAATAACGATAGTAAGGGTATATAGCCCCTTCAAAATAACGGAAAGTGTGAACAAATATGTTGGAATTGGGTATGTTTGCAATGACTGAAGCAATGACATGTAATCTGTATAAAAAACTAAAGGGTTTTTTTTTTAGATAAAAATTTAGCCTATTTTTTTTATTTCGATCAAAATGAAGTACGTTTGTATAATATAACTATTTTCCATAGATAATGGTCCTCATCAATATACGGTTCTATCTTTACAGGAAAATAGCCTTTAAAAAGTTACGTTTTATTCTTGTTGATATCATACTGCTTACATATAGACTATTTATTCTGTGTACCTTTCACTCAAACGACGACATTTTAGGAGCACCACCGGTCAAATAATCATCGACATCAGAACTTAAGGCTGGTAATAAAATACAGAATTAATTACAATATTGCTATTTTCTAACAATACCTTTATAGTGTGTTAAGAGAGTCAAAGGTAAGCTAAAGTATCATCCAGGCATTATAATGGTATATCTTATTGCCGTGTATACAACCACAAACCTAAATAAAAAGGTTAAAGTTATATCAAACCCTCATATACACCACTGAAATATAAATAAAAAATCCAATAAAACGTGCTTTACTGCCAATAATAACGATGAATAAGAATATGTGAGCCTACCAAATATAAAAGAATGAGTCTAAAAGAAAGGTTAAGGGTTTGTCCGTTTAAAAAAATGGCAGCTGTGAACGTTTTTGTATTATAGAATATCATAACTGCCACTTTTACAAGCCAGGAAAATGGAAGCTGTGAATGATTTGTCTTCAACAAACTAAAATAGGTGCCATTTTTTAAAACCAAAAAACAGCAGCAGTGAAGCTCTTGGCTTCATTCAACTGTTAAAGGTGCCTGTCACGGACGGAACAGGAACAAGACACAGAAACTACTTGGCGACAGGAGGGGGCGATTGGTTAAAATAAAATATGTTTATTATTAAGAGGGGGAGGGGGTTAGAACTATGATCCAGAATAACGTTTTTCTAATAAATAACTAGCATCTATTTATACTATTTCTTATACATGGGAAAAACTACGATGGGTTTAAATTATAGATTAACAAGGGACTTTACGGAACAGATACATGAATAGATTATTGACAAGGATGAGTAATTGAGATTTGACGAGTAGTAACAGGCTGGATTTAGTTGACATTGAATAATATGATGGTTCGGGGAATATTTATGGTTTGACACGGGCGGGAAAACTGGATTAGGAATAAAAGTAAAGGATGATCGGGAAAAGGTTTACTAAGGTTGAGTCAGACAGGAAGCGGGAGTAATATTGAGAGGCAGATTAATGATATGTTTTACAAGGAGTTCGGTGGCGGGCAAGATATACTGATATGATTTTTGGTACAAGGTTTTACAGGGAGTTTGGTAGCGGACAAGAGATACTGATATTGATTTCTAGAACAAGGTTTCACAAGGGGTTTGAGATCATGGTTAAGTTATGCAGACAATAAACAGGGCGAGTAAGTTCATGATAGTGGCATTTTTGCCAGCCACAAATATGGCAGCTGTGCCTCTTTTGTTATTATAGAATATCATATCTGCCACTTTTGCACGCCAAAAAATGGCAGTTTTGTGAAGTAAATGGCAGATAGTTGCCATTATTTCCGCCATAGTCAGTACATTGTCTGCCCCAATTCTCTTGTAATTCTAAACCATTTTCATCAATTCACTCTTAATAGGCTCTATCTTTCTGGGCATAAAATTGCCACGTTGAGATTTTTGTCATACTTGTTTTTCAAACTACGGTAAATTAATCCAATGTTGTAGTCGCTTTCGCAGCTTTTGATTGTAGCTACGTAAATATCATACCATTTGATAACTAACAATGCTTCTAAACATCCCCATCTACGACAGCATGCTTCCCCTATATAACTGGGAATGGCCCCAAATAAAAAAAGAGGTTAAATATTCATGGAGACGTTCAATAAGACAACGAACTCTATAAGAAAAATAAAGTAAAGAAAAAGCCATTGTTAGTTTTTACATGTTGAAACAACCGGGTTATCTCGTCTTTCAGTTACACGTTTTTAGGTCATGTCATACTTGTTTTTACTCTGTTGGAAAGTAAAATTCTCCCCCAGGTTGTTACAGAATACTAATTTATAAAATACCCAACCGCCGGTTGATTTTGGGTGCTAAATTTTCTTTTGAAAGTTCAAATAACCATTTTGATCTACGTGTTTTTGCTCCTAAAACGTGAGCGAGAACTTCCTTGGGAACGCCCACTATACGTTAAAACCAATAAATAAATGCTAGTGTCTTCAAATCCAAAAATATTTTGCGGATAAAAGATCGGAAATAATTGACCCAGCGTTATGGAAATGTTTTGTTATAACACAACTCTAGGCTGTAACCAATGACAACCCATGGAGTTTAAGTGTCGTGATTGAGATTATATACTTAATATAAGACTTTATCTACACTTGATAAATCTTCCATTTGATAATCCTTAGTATAATTCGTATTGATACTTTATATTAAATATTTATCATTTACGGTATGTACAGGCTTGATCTCATATCATGCTTCATACAAGTATAAGACATACATTTTATTAGTAGCATTGATACGAAAACACGCGAAGGTTACATAAGTCACACTCAGGTGCCGCAGATATCCGTACGAAGAACTACATTTCCCCTTGAATATTGTGTTAGAAGACATACACAGTTTAAGAATGAATATTATTGTTATTGTTATTGACATCTCATTATAGCCTTTCTATATGGGATGATTACGTCCAAGTATTATTTGGATAAATTTACCCACAACCGTCATCAGCGCATCCGTGATCAATGTCTGAAATAATGTGTATACAAAGACCCCCTCCTATTTGTTTAATAAGTCCTTAGTTAATGTTTGCAAGTTTGATAATTTCTTGTATTTATTTATAAATCTACACCGATTTCCGCACTAAGGAACAATAATAAAACAAGGACGACTATCTTAAAATCTTCAATAACTACAATGAATGGTCCATCTTATATAACTATGATATATTTCAGCTGTCAAATACAAGAGCCACAATATCCTTACTCTTCCATGAACATCTAAGTACACCCGTCTATCTAGTCAGCTCTTAAGCAGTTTTTATACAAATGATTTAACAAGACTTTTAGTTTTATTATTTTCGTTTTAATCCATCTTTTTCCGTAAAACTATCCCGTTTCCTTGAACTTTTACTAGATTGCTGCTAGTCGGATTTTTTCAAAAAGGAAATGGAAAAGACTTTTCGAAGTCCAAGAAGATATTTTATTTGATTTTCTAATCGTCAATGAGGCATTCTCTTTTACCCTCACTTTCGTAGCCATTCTTCTTTTTCGTTACTTTCATAATGTGATATAAAAATGTGGCCCGATTTACTTTTCGTTACAATTAGAGATTAGTTCATGTACAGTAATAATAGCTTTTTTTGCAATCCAAATAAATTGTGCAATGCCGGAATCAGTAAAGGTTTTACACAAAATGATCGCAATGTTCGAAATAATGTTCGTGGTTGACAATGATTTCAAAATTTAAAACTACTCCTTTAATATATCATTTGGAATAATATAACTAGCGCAAAAGGGGCGGTCTTGACAATTTCTTGTCTGCTCTAACACCATAGGTTCCAGTCTGGAGCATTCAGGAAGGATCTCTTAATGTTGAAGTAAAAGGACTTCCAGATCATTAATCTTGCTGGTTAATCATAACCACAAAAATAAATATTAAAATTATTTTATAGGCTAAAAAATTGTTACGTCATTATTTTCGGAAGCGCAGCAAAAATGTACTATTTTTATAAAAAAAAATTGGGTGGTTTATTTTTTTTTCTTTTTTCTCTAGACCTTTCTGAAAAAGCCATGATCGCGTTTCTTTTTTTCGAAAAGTAAGTATATCAGAATCACAGAACATACAAAACTTCAAACAAGAGTCTAATGTTGTCATTGAATAGCTTAATGTGCCAATTAGCACTTCTAGCGTTTTTTCTGCCTGCTTTTTCTCGCTTTTGGGGAAATCGCCTGCTTTTTTTCCTTCGGGAGAATTTGCCTGCGGTCTTGTCTTCTGTCTGGCTCTTTGTTGTTGGTAGTCGCCGACCATACCAAAGTCCGCCAGTCCCAATTGGTGATGTCTTCGTCTTGGTAGATGGTGTAATTACGCCAATCAGCCTCATCAACCAAACTGAAGCTGTTTCTTCCGCTTCCTCCCCGCCTCCTGCTCCTGTGGCTGCTCCTGTTTCTTTCGGCTTTTTACCTCCTGTCGTTGAAACCAGTCGAGCTTGGTCTTTCGTGCCCATTCCTCCTCCTGTAGCAACACAACCACCACCTTGTTACAGCTTGGATTGTGCTTGTGTCGCTGGCCTTCCTTGTCTTGGCCAAGGATTGTTTCCGGAGTCGGTTGCTCTCCCGCGCCACAATCAGTTTGGCACCTCTTTGTCGTTGTTTTCTGCCGTGTGGCAAAACGAAGTTTCCTCTGGTTCTGTCGGTGGTGCGCCCATTGGTCAGTTGAGCTCTCGTCGTGAGACCTCTCTTCCTTTGGCCCATTGTGAGGGTCCCTTGGATTATGTTTTGTCGTTGGCGTCGCCTCGTGCGGACAACCCTTCTTTTGCGGTTTCTTCCCCTTCTGGGGATAACGCACTCCCAGCGGTTTCTTTCCCTTCGGGGGATAACGCTGTTGAAGCGGTTTCTTCTCCTGTTGGAGATAACGCTTCCTTTGCGGTTTCTTCCCCTTCTGGGGATAACGCAATCCCAGCGGTTTCTTTCCCTTCGGGGGATAACGCTGTCGAAACGGTTTCTTCTCCTTTTGGAGATAACGTTTCCCTTGCGGTTTCTTCCCCTTCTGGGGATAACGCACTCCCAGCGGTTTCTTTCCCTTCGGGGGATAACGCTGTTGAAGCGGTTTCTTCTCCTTTTGGAGATAACGCTTCCTTTGCGGTTTCTTCCCCTTCTGGGGATAACGCAATCCCAGCGGTTTCTTTCCCTTCGGGGGATAACGCTGTTGAAACGGTTTCTTCTCCTTTTGGAGATAACGTTTCCCTTGCGGTTTCTTCCCCTTCTGGGGATAACGCAATCCCGGCCGTTCCTTCTTTGATGGAGGATATTGCTTCCTTCTTGTTATCTTCCTCCGTGGAAAATGACAATGAACTGGCGGTTTCTTCCCCTTTTGGGGATAACGCTATCACGGCCAATCCTTCTTTGATGGAGGATATTGCATCCTTCTTGGTGTCTTCTTCTGTGGAAGATGACGTTGAGCCAGCGGTTTCTTCCCCCCATGGGGATAACGCTTTGCCTTCCGTCGTTGGTGGTGCGTCGGTTGGTCTTGGTTCTTTTGGAGATGGAACCCTCTCTCCTGTCTCTTCCGCGGGTCTGGCCTTGCCAGAGATTGATTCCCTTTCGCCCGTTGTTGTGCCCGATCCTTCCCCGTCGGCATCACCTGGTGTATCGGCGTTGGAGGTGTTGGACCCTGTCCCGCCCTCCCCTACCTTCACGCCTGGGAATTTGGCATCTCCTGTTCTCTTTCCTCGTCTTTCTCTCCGGCTCTCTTTGGCTGGTGCTGCTTTTGAGGAGTTGCGCTCTCCCTCTCTCTCACCTCTCCTCAACACGGGGAATCTCGCTTCGCCTGTTCTTCGTCCTCGTCCTTCCTTCCGGGAGTTAGTGGCCGCCGCTCCCCCGCCAGAGACGTTAAATCTTCTTCCGAAGACACCGGTGTGGTCTCCTGTTGCCTCTCCTTCTGCTGAGGTAGAGCCACAAGTAGGAGAAAAACGAAGATCCCGTTCTCCTGTGCCTCCTTTTTCTCCCCGGCGTCGACTCGACTCTGGTCTTGATGAGGACGTTCTTTTGTTGCCTCCTCCCGCTCTTCCTTTGGGCACTGCTGCTTCTTCTGTTGCTTCCTCCCTTCCTCCTGTTTCTTCTGCTGTCTTGGCAGCCTCTGAGGAGTTGGTTGTTGCTTCCCCTCTGCCCGTGTTTGTTGCGGCTCCTGCCTTTTCGGAGGTCACCGTTGCTTCCTCCTCTTCTTCGGTCCTGTCTGGAACCCGTGTTGCTTCGGCCACTCTTGTTGTGTCTTCTCCGTCGCCCGTGCTTTCTGATTCTCCTTTGCCCGCTGATGGGGCTCCGATTATCCCTGATCCCCCTGTCCGTCGAACTCGCATCGCTGACCTCATTGGTCCGTATACGGACTTGCGGGATCAGGGATACAAGGACCCCTTCGCCATACTAGATGGTACGTATTTTTATTGATGAAATAATTCTGAAACATTTTACTGATTTAGTCTTTTAAATTTTTTTAGAGGTGCCCAAAGGTAGAAGAAAGTCTTTCTTCACTCGTCCCCCTGGCAAGTCCAGACTCTAAATAAATTTTTTTTTTTCAAAACAAAAATTCATTTTATTGCGATTGACAGAAGATTAATATTAGAGTGTGTTGTTCTTTCATTAAACGAGGTATAGTGTGGTTATTGGTACATATATTATTAGGGGTTTACTTGAGCGTTTAACTGCAGCCGCAAATGATTCTATGAAATGGAACGATGTCTAACATGTAATATGTTTCAACATATAATATCTAGTTCAATAAAAGCCGTTACAAGGGAGTTAGTTTTAGCTCGAAGAAATAGCATTAAGCTAGACATTTGTTTTGATTCAATGAATTGTGATGACTGATTTGAAAAACCCGAATTGAAACAGGCTCTTAGTCGACATTAGCCTATATACCGTGACCGCCTAAACTCGTACTGTTATAATGACGATAATAAGATAGTTTTTTAAATCTGGTAACAATATTCTTTCGATGATTGTGAGTACTTTTTACATTACATTGTAAAATAAATTGTTACAATTCTTAAGATTCTTACTTCGAATGAACTGGTCCTGGAACAAAGAAAAAAAAGGAAGGAAAATATATTTCTTGAAAAAACGTCTGTCCGGCACCAACTTCGCTTGGAAGAATAAAACTGGCGTTTACATGGAGTTTCTATAATTTTACAGGTGTTTTTCTAAAGACAACACTTTTAAAAATCTACTTCTTTTTTAGCGTATTTGTTAGCGAATATGTTGTAGGTTTGATGTTTTTTTAGTCTTCAAGCTACCGATTCCAAAATTTTGGTACGTGATGCTTCTTTCTAAAAACTTCCTCTTTGGCCAGTTTAACAAACTATATTATAGGGGTATTCAATATTGAAATAAAGTAAAACAAAATGAAAAAATAAAACATTTGGTCCAAAAAAAGATGTCAATTTAAGAAAATGCAAAAATGTCCAGCTTAAATAAAAACTATCTCGGACATTGTATTGGCTAATATTTTTTATTTTATTGTAATTTATTTTGCCTTCATTATTGCGTAGCCCTTATATTTTAAAAACTACTACATGTGACAAATTCATGACATAATGTACTGTCCAAAAACTGCTACATGTGATATATTATGCTATATATAATTTCCTTTAAAAACCACTAATTGTTATGATGAACTAACGGTTATTTATTAAACACTGAAACAAATAACAATGGGACCGCATTTACATACTCTTAATAAAACTATACATGCTTGCTACGCCAATCAGCATAATCCCTTTACTTGTTTCAACGATAAATTAATTTCAATATGACTTCATCCACAACCGCTTCGGGAATGGAGTGATTGGCAAAAAACATTTGCGGCTTACGAGACATTTCTCATTGAAAGAGACGAAATCTTTCTGATACAAAGTGCAGTGCAAGACACAGGCTCTGATTGTATTGAACTGGTGCCGAATTTGTAAAAAAATTGTACCTATTTTTTGAAGAGACGAAAGACGCCGGATAACTATTTTAAGCGTTTAAAAAATGGAGGGGATCATATCGTACTGGAACAAAAAGCTATGGTGTATCCTGTTTTTTTAATTGTTCAAATTGTTTATTGCGTTATAGTTAACAGATTCTTTAAATTACACATAATGTTTTTTTCAAGACCGTCGTATTAATAAATTCTAATCAATAATTTTTTTAAATTGCACAAGGTCTTAGGCTAAAGCAATAAAAGCATACTAGCTGCTACATCTATCAAAAAGATTCATATCTCAGATCATCAAAAGGGTTTTCAGTGTCTGAAGATCATCTTTTATTTTCTGGATAGGATTTCTTCTTTGCCAAAATAACTAGAATTGATTAATTCATTGAAAAAGGAAAAGGGTAGAATTATTGTTACACCAATATTCAACTTTGGAAAACTTGATGGTATGACAGACAGAACTAATAGGACATTCCCCGACGGAAAAAACACAATTTTATATTTTAAGCCCTACTGTTGGGTGCTCTAAAAGAAGAGCAGGTTGATTTTGTATGATTTCAAGATATGAGGAGTAATGAATACTTTCTATTGGAAATGCACGCTTCAGTAAGTAGGAAAGTAGAGCTCGCGCTAGTAATGAAATAAAAATGAAAAATGAAAAAAAAGAAAAACGAAAAACGAAAAACGAAAAACGAAAAACGAAAAACGAAAAACGAAAAACGAAAAACGAAAAAAGAAAAAGAGAAAAAAGAAAAACGAAAAACGAAAAACGAAAAAAGAAAAAAGAAAAAAGAAAAAGAGAAAAAAGAAAAAACCGAAAAAAGTTCACAGTTAAAAACAGAATTCTCATTTCAGCAATAAAAAGTTCTTTTTTCCGTTCTCAGATTTTTATTTAATATTTTCTGCCTTGTAATAAAATAGACTTTAAGAGAGTAATAGCTTTACCGAAAAATTTAAATAAAGAAGAAAAGAAATACAATTATAAGTCTTGTCTATTTTTTTGTATCAAAATGTATTAAAAATTAATTACATGGACGAGTTTGCCCTCGTAATTACTAAAAATAGAAGATATTGTGTTTGGTATATTTGACAGCTCAGATCCATCCCAGTTTTATATTATGGACCATTAATTTGGATTTTGAAGATCGTAAGATAGCTGTCCTTGATTTATTATTTTTCCTTAAATTATCTGATCTCTCATTGGTCGGAGCCTAGAGTTGTGTTATAACGAAGACATTTCCATGAAGCCAGGGTTACTTATTCCTAATCTTTTATCCGTAAAGAATCTTTCCTTCTGTAGACAGTAGCATTTATAAAGTGGCTTTATCACATGCCTAGCTGGTTCTCCATCTCTGCAAATGCGACCAACGTTCAAGAAAACTTCATCCAGGAGTCGGATTCCCTAGAATCAATTAGCACTACCATTTTGAAAGACAACTGCGTTTCAATTTACTAATGTATCACAGTAACAACAGTGTGACTCATGCTTTTACTTCTTTCAGGTCAAGACCAAAAATATTAACAGCCTAAATGGAACGTCGAAGAAAGACTGAAATCGAAAAGAACATTTCCAACATTTCGAACATCGGGGCACAAGATTCATGATCATTGTTTGAAAGAAAACTTTCATCACAAACTTATCGTACAAAGAGGTTTCATTAAAGACATAAGCCGCAGTATTGTCGAAGAATTTGAACAAAATATTAAAAAAGTCGAAGATGTAAGCATAATAGTTGACGATGAGGACGACGATGACCAAGAAGAGTAAGAGAAATCTTTTTTCGTTGAAAAAGACAGCACAGCTGTCTTTCAAAATTTATAAATGTTCCGGTCAGACTAGAAGGGAGTTACTAAGGGTTACTAAATCGTTTTTTTTTGTTTTTTTGTTTTTGTCTTAGGAGTGACGAACAATGATGTGAAAAAGTTATAATTGTGACAACAAGGCGAACGAAGTAGTTTTTTTTTAAAGAACGCACACTGTTGCTTATCGGCCAGCGATTGAAAATGTAGTTTCCATAACATTGAATTGCAGAGGGGAAGCACCGGTGTGATTGTGAAAGGTTGATCGTCGAAAACTAGTTTCCAACGAGATATCCAGCTTCCAAGTAAAATACAGCTAACAACGGAGACGAAAGATTAAGAAGTAGTGACAATACATTTTTTGATCTGTAAGTCAACATACTCAAGCGAAAGAAGTATAGCCAGGTTCTACCAGGTCCTAATTGGCTTGTCTGGAAAGAAGGTTGATTAACAATGGATCCTCATAGATTCTTTGTTGGGGCAATCAAACAGGAAGTAGAGTAACGTATATTAATATTGGGGACAATGTATACAAGCTGCAGAAACAAAGACATTCTGAAAAATGCTTAGCAAAAGGCTTTTGTTAGGCAAGTTGTGGTCAATTGCCCGATATCGTGCTGTAAGAATGCTTAGAGAAATAGTTACATCTCAAAATCTTTTTCATGGTCTTACACCAAGCGTCGTAGCAGGCTCGGATGGAAGAAGGATTTACGCAATATAACTCCCAATTGTTTTGGTTGATCTTTTCCAGAATCAAAGTGTGTGGAAATCGGGGTAGATTTATAAATAAAAACAAGAAAATTATCAAACTTGCAAAAATTAACTAAGGCTTTATTAAACAAATAAAAAGGGGTCTTTATATACACATTATTTCAGACATTGTTCACATATGCGCTGATGATGGCTGTGGGATGATTTATCCAGATAATACTCGGATGTAATGATCCCATATGGAAAGGTCATAATGCGATGTCAATAACAATAACAATAACATTCATTCTTAAACTGTGTATGTCTTGTAGCACCATATTCAGGGGAAATGGAGTTCTTAATTCAGATAGCTGTGGCAGCTCAATGTGGCAGATGTGACCTTCATATGTTTTCTTCTCAATGATATTATTTAAATGTATGTCTTATACTTGTAGGAAGGATGATATGAGATCAAGCATGTACATAAAGTAAATGATCATTATTTAATATAAAGAATCAATAAGAATTATATTTAGTTAGGATTATCAAATGGAAGATTTAAGAAGGGTAGATAGAGTCATATATTAAGTATATAGCCTCGATCACGACAAAGTGAACTTTTGTGTATCGAGGAAAGGACGGAGATTGATAGACCTGGTAAACTCTATACTGGCACCGAAGAGACCATGAAGTTTACCAGTCGATTAAATATAATCATCGGTTTTTGGGACCCGAAATTTACAAAGTAGGGTAGGGAATCTAGTTTCACTGTCAGATTCCTGTCAAAGGATATGTGTATTAGAATCCACAATGATGAAATCGCGTAACCAGATTTTGGACATACTAGCGCTGTTGCGAGGGAAAACTACAAAAATGATTGACTGAAAAGCTGGAATAACAGGAGTGTTGAATGTGTGGAATGACAATTGAAGCTAGGTTCAACTGCAAACACGTAGCTAGTGACAGGTCAGATTAGCTAAGACTAAAGGTAGGTAAGGATTCTGTTAGGAAAAGGAGTATTGTGAACGAATATGTTGTTAACAGACGAAATCCCTGTCTTTTAGTTGGAAATAGTAGTGGCCAAATGTAAGAGGAGGCACCTCCAGATGCAATCAAAGAGAAACCGTATTTTAAATATCGAACACTGGTACGTAGAAAAGATTGATGACACTTTCCAAGGTGTTATAGCACTGTGGAAGCAGTACTTAAATCTGCTCGCCGACGCCAGTTTCGCTTAATGTGTTTAACAGAAGGATCCAAAATACCAGCACCGCCTTTCG